GACCACTGACCTCGCACTGGTCAATGAGCAGAATCTATTGAATTAAAGTGATTGTCTGGAGTTTGTCAGAAAAAAGAGAGATAGGTGCAGGATTTGAAAAAAACGACCCAAGCTCCCTCCCCCTCTTGGTCTATGCCAACGTTTCCGTCACACATTTAAATGTTAATTTAAAGTTTTAAAGTTTTCATGAAGTTCCAGAGCCTATAAAAGCTTGATTCGGAGGCTCCACAAAAACAAACAACTGAGCACGTGCACAGCTACGAGCATCAGCGCCGATGATTGACAACCCTTGGCATCACTTGGTTGGCTAAAATCAACGGCATCGTGGATTTCTAGGTATAGCTAAGAGAAGGAAAGGCGGGACTTACCTGTGAAATTAGAATTAATAAAATGACTTAATTCACATCAATATTTAAGGCCAGGAGGTCAATTTAATACAATTCTTAAATGTTGTCATTCATTTAGAGTTCCATCACTTTAATGTTAAACTTGGTAAAAACTACAGATCATCACTTATTCGCATCCCTCCATCATTGTGCAGTACAGGAATAATTGGACTGAAATGAATCACTTACATAAAAGTTCAAGTTCAAGTACTAAAAATCTCTGTTTGGTTTATTAGCACAGAGGCGCTCGCCCACAGACGTGGGGACACGTGATCAGTAAGTTTTTGGATGATGCACATGTCCTTCATTAACGCGCAATAAGCAATGCATAATAAAAACTTGACTAACTGAAATGAATAAACATTTTCACCAAACCAGAATAGGCATGGACATAACCGAACATGCTGAATTAAAATTTAACATATAATTTGAATACATTAATTCATTTCATTAATACTAACATAAGCTGAAAAATAATTACAGTGACAATAAATATTCAGTCACTGTTTAAAAAAAAAAAATTCAAACTAAGAAAGAAGATTAACAAGAAATGAGCCAGTGTTAAGCAGATAATCAGTATTCTGCAATAAGCTACATCTTGGAAGTAACCTTCCCGAACATGATTGAGTCAAATGAACAATAAGAGCGGCTGACAATGACAATGATATTAGTCTCTTCTTGTTAGTAAACAGGCAGGTCTGTCGGATTAAGACACCATCCAATATACTCCTGTGCAGTGACAACAGAAAAACCATGTTCCAATTGAAACTGAAGAGGTTTTCCTCCATAAGCGCAGACTGTATAATTATTTCAAACGCAAGGAAAACCAAATCACTTTACAACGCGGATTTACATACGATTAGTGTCATACAAAGGCAGGATTACTACAAGTAGTGAAGAAGCTGCCTCTCCCCCGTCTCCCTCTTCTTGCCTTCCTTTCGATATCTTTGTCCTAAGTTAACAGTGAGTACTTTATGTTACATGAAAAATAATAAGTTAAATATCCAAATTATACTACAATGCACTTTGTGTTGCCTGGTGTAGTGCTTTACGATTAAACTTGCCTTGCGCTACAACTTATCAATGATTGGGCTTTCTAAAAAAAAAAAAAATGCATCTGGCTATAGAGCAATAACAGGGTAAATGCGAAAAAGCTAAAAACCCAAAATGTTACGGGCTTGTTATAGCCCAACTAAAACAAAGCCGAAAAAATCTGAAAGGCAAAAGATAAAAATCACTGAGACAGGAGCTTTCTGTAACCATCTCATTCAGTACAGGGACACACAGGCAAATTCTCACTGAGAGACTCTTGATAGACAGAGAGTAAAGCGGAGAGTTAATGAGTAGATTGTGGGCCAATAACACAAGCAGTCACCCACAACAACGCACTGGCCGTACTCCTTACCTGTCTACCGTGCTGCACTGCATTTTGGGAGAGGAAGGGCAGAGCGGAGCGGCGATGGGATTTGAAAGGCGTTCTGCTTGGCCGACTCACTGATTTGCATTTAACAGTGGAGCCACACAAACACTTTGGGAAACACAATAGCACACGCACATAGCAGAAATGTGTTAAACATTCACTGGTGAAGTAAAGAGAATTTTTGGATACTGCTTGAATAATTTGGTAATTATGTGAAGTCTTCAATAACAGACTTAAAACGGGACATGACTGAGAAGTGTAGAAGAAAAATGCGAAGGATTAGAGATTGGTGGGAATACACTCCGCCCTTCCCAAAGCGGGGCGTGTTATTTTTCGCTTTATGATTCTGATAATGATGATATTAGAGAGCAAAGGAGGAGGTGGAGGCTGGAGCGCAGGGTTGATGGGCACCACATGTGATTGGGTGCTGCAGCTTTCTTCTTTTTACAGCTACACATCCCATGAATAGAGGGAAAGATATAGAACACTGAAGGGGGCTCCTCAATGACTAATTTTCCTTTCTTTTACGGCAGCATAAATTTAACTGGAGGGGGGGGCTGTGGTGGAGAGCAGAAATCCTTTTAGCAGGCTGATTTATGTATGTCTGATGGGCGAATCATAGATCATCGGCAGAAGATGGCAGACACACTGATGATGATGGGGCCCTTCGACAGGGCCTGCTAATGCCCTGGTGAACAAAATGTAACCAATCTATGGGGGCCCTCAAGCATGCAGTGGTCGTCTGATAGAAAGAGTGGCAAACTAGCTTGACTGTCATCAAAGTAAGACTCAAGAGGAAACAAAATAAATAAAAAACCGTATATGATTACGATATTTTTCATTATTTAACCAATGTGGTTAAATAACTATATTAACCAATTGTGATCAGTTGCTACTGTGTCTACAAAGCACACATCACAGTAATCAAATCTAAGCCAATTAACTCATTGAGTAGAAGAAGGAATGAAGGGGATTCTAAATGTCAAGAAAGAAAAAGAAGCCACTTTTCAAGGTGTAAACAGCTAAACAAAAGACACCAACAAGTAAACGCTGCATGAGTGTCCGCCTTAAATCACAGAAAAGCATGGATCGTTGGCCCAATGCACAATGCAGTGCATGCAGCCTCACCAATCATCTTTATATCAAAACATCATTATGCAGGCTGACAGCAGCTAAGGTTCCAGCGAAGCCTCATTGTCATAAATCGTCAGCTGTTGCAGTATTGCGAAGAGAGCCTTTTCATTTAGAGATGTCAAAGCTCTCTCGAGTCTCGTAAAGATTGTAGGAGACTCCGGAGATATGAGACTGGAGTAAGATGGCACTGTCTGCGAGAAAGGAGGGAGAGCTGGAGATGGCAAGACAAGTTACAGGCTAAATTATAAGTAATGAGTACAAAGAAACATAAAAGGGGAAAGCTTGAAACTCACGGTATGAGCAAGAGGAAAATGTTCATCTGTTGCATCTGGAAGAATGGTCGGTTAACTGTGTTCATGAATGAAAATTTGTGCAAGACCGGGAAATGTTTAGAGAAGCAATTATCCATAAATATGTTGAACTGTTAGATAGAATGATGCCATCCTCTACTTCTAGAGTTCACTCATATTGGTACGCCATAGAGCTCATGTTTTTGGCCATCTTTAGGAGATTATTAATGATTATTCAAACACAATACAAAGTTTTTCCACTTTAGTGGTTGTGTGAAGCCATTCATCAAAAGGTATTATATGTTCCTATGATAAAATCAATGTATTTGTGAAGCAGTAAAGAAACAATTGTCCAGGAAAAAAATAAAAAGCATATAGTTTCATAGTTTTTAATTTCATACAAGCTTTTCTTGCAAGTAAAGAAAACTGTTGCATTGTCCAGAAGACTCTGATTAGAATCCCATTGTGCGCACAGTCCGATCTCCTGAAGCACATTAAATTGTTTAAAAGTGTGTAATAACACGACATGGCAACTTGTGATTTGTTCAGTTTAATTTTCTTTTTTTTTGCCTCTAGTTATTCAATCCCACATTATTTCTGTGGTTGCCTGATGCCAGTGCCTCCATAATGTCTGTCTTTCTTGATAAACTCCAGAGGACATCACCGCCGAAACATATTTAGAAATTAGGACATCTGCTGAAACAGCTGTTGTCATTTTGTTGTATAATGTACTGCACTTGCTCCAAAGTACAGGCAACACACTCCAAAGAAGCTGCACAAGTAGAACATTCATTAGGTCTACAGAACAATGATCCATCTTTACTTCAGCATAAAGGTGGCAGTGTTTTACATAGCGAAGAGGATGCATGTGTGTGTCATATGTGTCTGTGTGGTTTACTGTGACTAATGTACTGAAGCGCTCTTTGCTGGTGCTGACAAAAAGACAAGTTTGCAATGCTGGTGATGTTGTGTATGTCCCTCCAGGGCTTCCGTCCATCCACTGGCACGGTAGATGAACTGAGACAAGATGTCAGAGCAGAAAATGTCAGAGCACGGCCAAAACGCTGTGGTCCCATCCCTGACAGGCACGACTTCTATACACTCGTTATTCGAGCTGGAAACATATCATATTTACACAGAAAAAAAGAGTGAAATATAGAAAATTGAGTGTGTTGGAAAGTAAACGGAATTGAATGAAAGAAAGAATGAATGAGAAAAGAAAGGAATCCGATTTGAAGGGATAAATGCAAAAGCCCTACAAATGAATGAGCATAGCATCAGCAAATATCCGCTGGCAAGTTGTTGTGGTTGTTTTCTTTAGTGGTGCACATTACAGATGTCTTGAGTAATGCTTCCATCTGTAACCCCTCTTCTCTCTCTCCCACAATGCTATCCCGAGGACTCTCTTTTCCGTAAGTGTGTCAATTTGGGTCTCCTTGCTCAAGTTCAAACATTTAGCCCCCAAACAAGCCGTTTGTCTACAACTGCACCGACTGAAGGAATAAAATGGAAGGAAATACCTCCAGAGCTGAGATGGAGGGGAGAAAACAGCTTGTGAGTTTGACGGCACTTTTTCTGCTTGTTTAGAACGAACACACACACCACTCGCACGTCGGTGACCACTCTCGTCTGGTGACTGGCTGTGCACTTGCAGTCCCTCCAGGGTGTATGGGGGTCACTGCAAGACTGTGTGTGTGCTGGTGGGTGAGGGGAGTTCACCCGATGCCAACCCCACCTCCCCTCCTCACCGCTCACACATACCAAAAAACACTACACTACAGCTACAGATGATGTGCCGTCCAGCTGCATCTCTGTCACGATGACGATGAGTGCTCCTGCCAAACGCCCGGCAACCAGAGTCACATCTGCTCCTGTCTCTGTCACCACGACGATACTGCCAAAGTCCATACGACAACCAGCACATGGCCCGGGGCGCCAGCGGCTGGCACAGACTGAGAAACACAGTTATTGGAAACGCTAATTTACAAGATCCCTAGATTCATCTCCCACTGCACTATGACTTGTTTTAAGAGATTGTTACGGTTTTTAAAGAACCTAATAATAATAGTACACCAGATACACTTAAGTCTTGCGAATAATCAAATAAAGCTTTTTTTTTTTTTCTTGGCAATATAAATGCATGAACTCAAATGAACATTGTAACAAATGTGGTCTTACACCTTGCTCTGCCAAAAAAATAAAAACATTAAATCTATTGCTCCTTGTCAGCTTTTTACCCACTTTTATCACTTCATTCAATGCTTGCTTGGTTCTCTAGCCATTCACCTTACATCCCCTTTATGGCCAGTCTACTTGGGTCGCCTCACTTGGCTTTATTACACTCTCCTCCACCTTATCTAAAGCTGCATCATATTAGCCCTCTTCCTTGCTCGCCTCCATTCCTCCACACCCTTTTGACTGGCCCGCTCCCCAGCCGGCCCTCGCTCTATCCCCATCTCTGCTGCCAGAGTGTTTATATTTGCCCTGCCCACGGCAGAGTGCCTAACAAGGTGGAAAGAATTAGGGGTGAAAAGACAGCACTGCTGCCAGCAACGCTCCCTCTCTCATTCTCTCTCTTTCTCTCTTTTTCTGACAGTAGATATATTTCAGCTAATGTACTCCTGACCTCTTCTAGTTCTATGAAGTATCAACAAAAATAATTAGCTTCAGTCTAAATTGGTGTCAGAGCTGCTTTTTAAAAAAGGCGTTAGAACCCTGTAAATCTTTTTCTTCAACAGCATAATTTTTTCCCAATATTACATACATAGTATACCATCCTTGTTTCATTATGTTGTGAATAAAAAAATACTCCATTTACCACTTTTTACCACAACTGTCAAATACAGTTGAAGTCTGGTGTTTAACCTTACACTTGAAAGAAGAAAAGTGTGCATTAACTATATAATACTTTGTTCTATGTATTAGAACTATAATGAATGAACCATTGTTTTGTTTTTCGAAAAACAGAACGTGGTCATTTATGAACAATAATTCTTAATCTTTGGGGCACTGGGGCTTGCTGGGGCACATTGATCATTATTTAAACCAGCCTGGGAGGGACTGGAAGCTTTGGAGCTGATAATTTGTGAATTAAGTTGAAAAGATAACTATTCAATATTGATGATGTATATGTCTGTATATATATACAGTATGCATATGTATGTGTATAAGTACAGTACGCAAAATGTGATGAATGTAACTAGTTCTGCTCGAATACATATGCAAGAAACTTCTGATAACTTGCTATTCAGTGTTCTGAAGATTAAATTCTTCAAAATAAGCACAACTTTCCAGTATAACATTATTCTCAAGTGAAGGATCATTGTAAAAAATGAAGATGAAGATGTGCACACCTCAATGTGATCAAAAAAACAAGATTTTTAAATTATGTAGAGGTCATTATATTTGTAAGTTACTGTAATCAACTATGACCGCTCCAGACAATAGCCACTGAAATGTTTCACTAAGTCGGTGCACGGCCCGGTTTATAATCCTATCAGTGAGAGCGCACCTCCACAGTCACAGGTTTACGTGTGTGTGCACATGTGTCGAGAGGGAGATGGATCCGAGTATAGGGCCTTAGCAGGGTTTGCTTCAGTGTGATAACAGCCAGTGATTTGTATCTGTAGATAAAGCATTGGCATAATAAATGTTCTCGCTTCTCTAACTCAATTTCTCTTGCTTTGCCTGTCTATCCACTACTCGCCTTGAGAAAACAATGTTTTGCTTTATTTAATTTTTGTTTATTTTTAACTCAGGCAATAATGTCTGGACTTGGTCTTCCTCTCTCTCACTCATGCAGACACACACGAATGAACGTGTGTGGTGCAGAGTGAGAAGGTGTCAGTGCTATTCTCAGGTCAGTTGGGTTTGATCTTTTCCACCCCGTGCTTTCGCACATTATCAAACAGCCTGCAGCCTCAGACAGAGCCACATTGAGACACAAAGAATAAAAAATACATCATAATAATTCATATGCAAAAAGGTACAATGTTACAATTGTTTTTGGTCACCTCTTCATGGGATCAACCGTTCAAACTGTATTCCATTTTCCAGACTTCAGCAACATTTCCTCTACTTGTGTCAATCTATAGTTTTTCTGCTGGTCTGACATCCATTTCTATCAGTATTAGCTAAGCTTGGGTATATTCAATTCTCCTCTCGGTGGTTAGTCCATCTGCATGTTATCCCTCTTAACTCTGTTCTCATTCTCTCCTCTGGCAGGACTAATACTCTACTTTAGAATAGACCATCCCACCCTACTTTTTAACATTCATGTTGTCTTTATCTTCTATATGTCTGTTAGTTCTTCTACTCCATTATCCTCCGCAGGCCAACTCTCCACTCTCTGTTTGTTCAGGGTGTTTGAAGAAGTGTTTAAAAAACCAGGATGGATTTAATGCAAGATATATGACTGTCCTGAATATACTCTAAATTCCAGTAATGAACTGCACCCAAACTTTACCTCCATCATCTTTAGATCTCATCTTATAGAATGAAAAGAAATCAATTTTCACTGTTATTAAGGAGGCCTAGTCATGCTTAAGTCTCTGATTCCTTCTCTCCTCTCTCTTACCTTTCTACCTTTTCCCTCTCTTCAACTGTTGCTAATGTATGACTCTTTTCTTTTTACCCTTTGTGTTCATTTTTCATCAGCACTCGTCTTTGCGATTATCCCAGTGCATATCAAAGGTTCTTAATGAAGATTCACAACAGTTTCCCCTCCCAGCTAATACCTTATCAAAGGAGAAATCTCGTTCCAGAAAATCAATTTTCTTTCATATTATTAAGTCCTCCTGTACTGCACCTGCATTTGTGATTCCCATGGTTTTGGCACTGAAAAGCAGCAGTGAGGGTCTTGACCTGACACATTCTACACACAGTACTCACATACATACTGTCAAAACTCAGACATGAGGTCAAGGCAAATTATTGATTGATTTATTGATTGATTGAAGAAGCCACTAGAGACATGTCTAACTTTGGGGATATGTATTCTCACATTCATTATTTATTTATTTTTGAGGGACCCTAAAAAAACAGCCATCAAAGAGGATATGGGCAGGCCACTCTGCACCAAGCCAACATGATCCTAATGATCCTAAATGACAAATACAATTTGTCATTTGTCAAATACAGTTTCATAAATATGAGCTGTTAAGACCCACTGACGGTGGGACAGTGTGCAAGGGGGCTTCCAACAACAAGCAACAATGCTCTTTGGAGACAAAAAAGAGTTTTCCTGAGAAGTCTCGGGAAGAAGAATGAGGGGGAAACTGAGCAAGACTGAAAGATGGACAGACTGTCGACCACCATCAACAGCACAAAGAAACCCTTGGGGACTCCCAGAACACATGGAATAAGGTGACAAAGAGTACTTACTCTTCATGCAAAGTTTTTCCCAAACAGATTGTAAGTCACAATCCACAAGTAGACAAGCAAGTGCTCCATCTCAACTCTTTAAGAGCAATTATGAGAAATAAAAAATGGCAAGAGTAAGTAAGTAATCTTTATGTATATAACGCATTACACATACCAAGGTCATACAAAGCGCTTTACAATGTGCTACAATGTGCTCCTCTGCAAGTGTGTCTCTGCTATATTGCAATCAGAAGAAAGTAATGACACAGTCACAGACACAGACGGATTCAAATGTCCAAAAACAATACTTATTGAAATTAGTTTCAAGCATCAATACTTTTTTTTGGTTTTGGTTTTGGTATCCATAAGTTTAACAATCATATTGCTACAAAACGTTAGCTGCAGATCATGCTAACTTATATAATATAGATTACTTACTTACTTACTTAAGCAGCCATGCGGACATAAAGCCTTCCAGCCATTTTTAGCTCAGTCAATATGAACATGTCTAACCCATTTTCATGTTCAGAACATCTAGAATTCAGTCATCTTATAAGTTTGCTTGAAAAGCGAGATATTTTATATTCAATGATTCAAAGTCCATAAATGTCGTTGAATGTCAAGTGTCCTGGATCATCATCACTGTCCTTGGACCCTCCTGCATCAGCAAGAAAAAAACTCTTAAAACCCAGTGGTAGAAATGAGAAATCTTGGAGAGGCCCACATTGAGGGAGATCTGCTCCCACAGACGAACAGGCTATAGATGCAGGACTCAGGCTGCAGGACTGAGAATGTCTCACCTAACCATATGCTACATTATAGAGGGCTGTTTTAAGCCTGGCCGTGAATCTAGACACTGTGTCTGCTTCCTTGACGTGGATGGGGAGATAATTCCACAGTATCGGAGCTTCGTGGCTAAATGCTCTGCCCCTGACTATAGGAATTATATAGCAGAGTTCAATTTAATACAATTTATTTTCTCATGACAAAAATTATGTCAAAAATATACATTTTATCTGTAAAAAGCAAGGTTAAACCTGAACAAGCCTCGAATTTGGTCACAATGCTTCATATATTTTACTGCAGGATCCCAAAGATTCTTAATTTTTTTATTAAAGTAACTGCTATAACATATTTCACTATATACTCTATTTAGATAATATGGACTTCACTAATACATGCTTTGATCTGGTGCCACTTTATCATTAAGGACACTAAATCAACAACATATTGTAAAGCTGTCACTACATAGAATATATATGTTAAGAATTAGGTCCAAGGATACATCCCTGGAGTATTACACTCTCATCATCGTCAGTCTTTAATTTATTCACTATAAATTAAGGCCAAGGATTTACTCATCTATAAGGAAACACTGCCAAATGAAACAACCTCTAGCCTGTTCAGCACTTAGTAGCTTTTAATACATACAATGTGTATGTAGGTAGGGCCTCACAGACCAGGAGTCAGAAACAGTGGCAAGTAATACTATAAAACCAACTATATGAAAGTCTAAAAAGTTGTTTTTCAGGGTGGTAGCCTACAGTGTTGGATGAGGCTCTCTGGCAGGAGGGCTAGGTGATAGATAAAGTAGGGCAGCAGTAATGATGAGGCATCATCGATGTAAATGATACTTGGGGAGGCCTGGCGAGAGGAGCAGGGGGTGGTGAGCAGGTGAAAGAGGGGAGAAGCGATCGTGGCACTCTGGAGAGACGAAGCAGGTGAGCAGAGGCAGTGAGGAGAGCTGGATGGATGGAGGGTGGGAGAGAGGGAATAGAGATGATGAAGAGGGAGAGTAGAGAGAAACAGAGGTGCTGGGGGTGGTGATGTATGTAGGCCTGTCACAGAGAGCTCGGGGAAGATGCAGTGTGCTCCTTACACTTGGGAAGCAACACCCCCACCCACTCAGCCGTACACACACACACATTTGGCATCTGTCCCACACCCACCTCACACCTCTCCATGGGTCGGCCCAGGCGTGGAGGCAGACTAATAACCCAAAGGTTGTCGGGTTGATCCCCAACGCAGACGGGGTGTTTGCTGGCTGTGAGTTGAAAGCTGGAGGTGGCCTGTATTACTCCTGAAGTTCTCACCAGAAATGCCCTTGAATAAGATATCAAGTTCCAATCTTTATAGCTAGTAGATTTTGCATCAGTGATGACACACAAAATATGTTTTTATCTAGTGCACTTAAATTCAAACTTTAACACCTGGCGGACTGTCACTCCCAAACTTTAAATTACCACATAGAGAGCGCATCCATTGATTGACCAATGTATTATTTGCAAACACTATAAATGCTGTGTCCTTTTTGGTCGTATTTTATTGCATTGTATTTCAGTGTGGTGATCTGCTGAAATAAAATACATTTACATTTAATGGAATCCTTATCTTTAACAAATCTAACAATATTATGTCCAGTTAGGCAATTTCAATGTTGGTATGAAAGAGGCATTTGTCTTGTTAGTGGTTCGGTGACAGGGGCCTTCATCCATTTAACTTACAGTGATAGTGGTTAAGAACCAGCATGAAAACTACATTGGCAGTCTCCTTTACAGGCACATCTCATGTGGAAGTTTGTAGATGAAACATGTGGATTTTTAAAATGTAATCGCATATTTTTGGATAGACATATCAGAATCAGAATCAGAATCATTTTTATTGCCACGTAAGTAACAGGAGGTCACAGACTTGGAAATTGCTTTGGCTCGGTGCAACAGTCAGAAAGAGAGGGCATAATAAAAATAGGAATACATTTAAAATAAAAAATTAAAATAGAGTTACAATTACTATATACAATATTCAGTGCACATGGTGCACACAATGTAAGGTGACAGCAGTACAGTGAGGTAAAGTGACGTATGATGGGCAATAAAGTGACAATATAAAGGGCAGTAAAGTGACTTATAAAGAGCAGTAGGGGACTTCTAGAGGGCGGGGAGGTTAAGAAGTGTTCAAGAGTCCAACAGCAGAGGGGAAGAAACTGTTGTTATGGCCTGGCTGAGGGGAGTGGTTGGAATAGTCCATGTGAGGGGTGAGAGGGGTCGGCTTGAGACCAGCCCGGTCTCAAGCTCGGGCGACGTACAGGTCCTGTAGCGATGGGAGGCTGCGGCCGATCACCTTCTCTGCAGAGCGCACGATGCGCTGTAGTCTCTGTTTGTCCCTAACTGTGGCTCCAGCAAACCACACGGTGATGGAGGAGGTGAGGATGGACTCGATGATGGCCGTGTAGAACTGCACCAACATCTGTGCAGGCAGCTTGGCTTTCCTGAGCTGCCGCAGGAAGTACATCCTCTGCTGGGCTTTCTTGATGAGGGAGCTGATGGTTGGCTCCCACTTGAGGTCTTGGTGATGGTGGTGCCCAGGAAACGATAGGACACCACAGAGGTGATGAGTCCATCACAGAGGGTGGGGGCGGGGGGATTGTGCTCTTCCTGAAGTCCACAATCATCTCCACTGTCTTCTGGGCGTTCAGCTCCAGGTTGTTACCACTGCACCAGGACACCAGCCAGTCCACCTCCCTCCTGTAGGCGGACTCATCGTTGTTGGAGATGAGTCCAATGAGGGTGGTGTTGTCCGCAAACTTGATCAGCTTCACAGAGTTGTGGCTGGAGGTGCAGTGGTTGGTGTACAGGGAGAAGAGCACGGGAGAAAGAACACAGCCCCGTGGGGCTCCTGTATTTATAATCCGAGAGTCCGAGACATTCTTCCCCAGACGCACTCGCTGCTTCCTGTCTGTCAGGATGTCAGTGATCCACCTGCAGGTGGAATCGGGCATGTTGAGCTGGGAGAGCTTGTCCTGGAGCAGGGATGGCAGGATCATGTTGAAGGCAGAGCTGAAGTCCACGAACAGGACCCTGGCGTAGGTCCCCGGGGAGTCCAGGTGCTGTAGGATGTGGTGGAGGGCCAGGTTAATGGCGTCATCTACAGATCTGTTGGCTCTGTAGGCGAACTGCAGGGGGTCCAGGACGGGGGAGGTGAAGGACTTGAGATGGGAGAGGACCAGGCGTTCAAATGACTTCATGACGACAGACGTAAGTGCCACAGGTCTGTAGTCATTGAGTCCTATGATCCTGGGCTTCTTCGGGACGATGATGGAGCATTTGAAGCAGGCCGGGACATGGTAAGACTCCAGAGAGGTATTGAAAATGTCAGAAGACCGGAGTAAGGGGGTGCAGCCTCAAGAAGAGACGTTTGATGTCTTCTGAGGCTATTGTCAGGGTGGGGGCAGAGCTGATGGGTGGGTCGTTAACATAATGGGGGATGGGGGACCTGTCAGGGGCAGCGTCGAAGTGGCTGAAAAACCTGTTCAGGTCGTTGGCCAGTTTGTGGTCATATGTAGCATTGGCCAACCGTACACTCGGGTTAATGATCATTTCCCTGCATGTAACGTCTGGGTCTGGTCCCTGTGTTTGCGATTACATCGGTAGAATTCCATCGGACCAATCAGCGAGCGCGGGAGGCGGGTGTTGTAGTTAGTTGTGGGTGACGTCAAGAGTTTGCGCCGAACGCGCAGGTTGTAGTTTGGCAATGGCGAAGAATGCTATAGTAAAGTTTGCCAGTCTGGTTCTATCAAGAAACTGAAGCCGGAGCAAGAGGAATGTTTAGCAAAAGTCATTGCTGGAAAATAATGTGGCGCTACTCTCCACGGGCTCCGTTAGCGGCAAAGGAGATGGCTAGGCTAAAAGTTAAATGCTAACCACTCTCTCAGGCACATTACATACATGACGGTAAACTCAGAATCACGGAGTTAACCCCTCCCACCTGTTAACGGAGCTCAAACCTTAGTATGAAATGTAATTTGTACTATGGTGTGGTATGACCAGGCAAATGTAGCATTGCTTTTAGAGCTGAGGTGGAGGTCAAACATTCAAAATCTAGCTGTGGACTTGGAGTGGAGGTTTTGGGACCTTTTCCACAGATCAGGTAATTCAATTTAAGGGGGATATTTATCACACAAAAATGACCTACGATCTACGATGCACACATAGATATATAAATCACTAAATTGCATAAGCTTTTTTCCTTTGCAAGCCAAAATCCCAGACTGTTGGGCCATGTAGAACATGTCATAATAGCCCAGACCCTCATTGGGATTAAACTTTGATATCCACTAACGGGCCACAAAAATAATTCACAGGCCAGAAATGGCCCGTGCGCCGCATGTTTGAGGCCTTTGGTCTACAAGAGGTATTTTATTACTTTGGTGTACTAGATATGTGTGTGTTGTTGTGTTTTTGCATTATTATTATTAAAGTTACTTTTAAAAAAGTACCCATCTATTTTATTCTGTTTTATCCATTGCTGGGGCAGTGGTCCGAGCAGTGACACCCAGACTTCCCTATTCACGCATACTTCCTCCACCTCATCCAGGTAAGGGCTAGGCGTTCCCCGGCCATCTACAAAATGTCTTGGGTCTTCCCTGGGGTCTTCTCCCAGAAGGACATAACTAGAACACCCCGCCCCAGGGTAGCCTTAGCCATCCGTAAACTCCGGTCAATTATCATTTCCATACATACGATGGTGTGGTAAGACCAGGCTACCCCAGGGAGGCGTCCAGGAGGAACCCCAACTGGCTCCTCTCGACGTGGTGCTGCGGCTCTACTCCGAGTTCTTTGTTCCTCAACCTATCTCTAAGCCACTCTGTGGTGAAATTTACTTTTTTTTAAATAAAAAAATAAATTACCACGCCTGCAGCCGCCTCTAACGCTGAGTTTGTTACAGAATAACGTTATTCTTATTCTTCTTATAACTGATTTTAGAATCCCATGTAGTAAGTAATGTTAACTGAGGTTTGTGAATAAATCACGCCTCAACTTACGCCTCAACTTCAATAAAAAACACTTTTCTGGACAACTTTTCTGAGGACACTTTTTTGTGCACTGATACTAAAAATATGCATATACTGTAAATATACCAACCACCGATGAAAACATGCCAGAGAAAACAGAAACTCTGATTTTAGCATCATAATCGCAGCAACAAGCTCTTATAACTGCGCTGCCGAACGGAAGGTTTTAAGAGATCCTTAGTTCCTTCGGATATCAGACTGTACAACAGACCTGGATGAGTCTTCTGCTGCTGGACATCTGAATTGCTCCTACGGGGGATCAATAAAGTATCTATCTATCAATCTAAATATTAAGTATATATTGTTAAACCCCTTATCCACATAACAAGAACATAAACAGCCTGATTCCTCTTGAATATTGTACAGAAACGCATTCCCTTATATTAAAATTTGTTTTGCATGATCAGATATCACCAGTAAGTTCTTTCAAAAGTTTACTTCAAAAATAAAGTAAAGTAGTATGTTATCATTTCTCAGAAAATACACTGGGGCAGTCATTACAGGTCTCAGATGAACCATGTCAGTAAACTTTTGCCTAGTCCACAGTTCAGTTAAGTGAAGATGTCTTTCATATTCAGAGTTGTATACATCATAAGCAGGACAGTGCGAGAAATGTATTATGTGGTGGTGTTTGGAGTCAGGGAGCTAAGTAATCCATTCTCCCCACAGTGGTATGGAGAAGGTCTGCTGTCATGGCACATTCCACGTACACACAGCACACCGAGAAGCACTCAAACACACAAACACTTGTCATGCTGGGTTACACAGAGCCATGATCGCATTATCTGGCGCTGGACCTTACACTCTCATTCACTTATGCAGCATTCTCTGTTGATTTCCGTCACACACCTGCACAGTATAGGAACCAGCGCCTTACCTGATGGGCTGGGCAAGATATAGGCCTTTCCAAACACACAAATTCTCTGTGGTCCTGCTGACAACCTCTTCCACGCCAGATTAATCTGGTTTACAGTTTTATCTAAGCATAGATAGGCCTCCACAGGCACATAGACACATATAATATCACATTTGGACTGGCAGAGGGGCTGCATGGAGACATACAAACGTACAACACA